AACAACAACAAATTTCTTTTACATGGTTTAAATTGATGACATTTAAAAAGTGGTGGAATTAATGATGAAAACATAACAAGAATTAAATTAAATTTTCTCCAGTCGGTGGCATTTAAAAAAAAAAAAAAAAAAATCGACCTTCGATTTAAATAAAAACATTTCGTGTCTCTCTCGTTTATACTTTTTTTTTTTTTTTTAATTTTAAACTTTTCGCCCTTTTTTTCTTTAACGGTTAAAAAAAAAAAAAAAAAAAACCCCCAAATTCAACCCCCCCCTTATGTTTGTACATAAACTCGTGTCGTAATGACGACAAATTTTCAATCGTTTTTTTTTTTTTAAATAAATTTTACTTGGAAAATTCGATGAGAAAAATTTTATTAAAATATATTTGGTTCAAGATGAACAAGATGCGAAAAAAAAAAAAAAAAAAAAAAATTTACCTAATTTTAATTTAATAATGGTAGCATATTGTAATTTCATATTATTATTATTATTATTATTAATTTATCGAATTACGTAAATTACTTAAATAATAATAATAATAATAATAAGTAGTTGTAGGGATTTTTTTTTTTTGTTTTGTTTTTACGTGTCGAAAATTTTTAACTATCACGTCACCGATTCGAATCATGTAATATTCAATTTAATATATATTTAAATACTTTATAATGAGTAATAATAAATAATTATTCACATCGATAAAATACTATATTAATTACGTAATTTTTTTTTTTTTTTTTTGGTAATTTTTAAACAGTGACAGAAAAAAAAAAAATTCTCGCGATAATTTTATCATATGAATATCGGATTTTTTTTTTTTTGTTATCGATAAAACTTCGACATCGAGTTATTGACCTTAAATTTTTATAATCGTACGTTTGAAAATTCGTTAAATTTTAAAATCATTTAAACCGCTCCCCACCCCCCCCAAAAATAATTTTTTATTATCCTTTTATTTATTTATTTTTTCTCTATAAAATCCGCCATTTTTACGCCATGTACGTGTAATTATAAGTGTTAAACATAATTTAAAAATTTATGGATGAATCGAAAAAAGATTTATTTTTATATTTGGGGAGCCACACCTTACAAAAAAAATTTCATTTTGAAAAGGTAACAAATGTTTTAGAAACCTTCGTGCCTATTTTAAATCGATTTTAAAAATAATAATAATAATGATAAAAGCTTAAAATTTTCAAGTTACGGCCGTTTTAAAAAAAAAAAAAAATTTAATAATTTTATGTGTAATAACTTGACCTTTCTTAAGAAATTAATTGCTGACGTGGGATTAGACGTAGTAAATTTTCTATATTAAATTATTCAATTTATTATTATTATTATTATTTAAATGACGTTTAACGGAATTTTTTTTTTATTAGACTTTATACGAATGTTAGCTTTTTGAAACCATTTAAAATTTAAAAAAAAAAAAACTATTTCGCTGTAAATTTTAAAAATTATTTCCGGTTTAAAAATTCGGATTAAACACTTTCATTTTTTTTTTTCGTAATAATTTTTATAAGTTTTTATGTTTTTTTTAAAAAAAAAAAAATTATCGTAATTATTATTATTATTTTATCTTTTTGTTAAAATTTAATAAAAAATGTGAAGCAAATTTTATTACATCGATTTCGAAGTTTTTTTTTTTTTATTTTTTTCGGTTCGACAACCTGTTTAACGAGTTTTTTTTTATATATATAAAATTCAAATCGTCTCCGAATAAAACTTTTAACTTAACGTATTTTCAAAAAAAAAAAAATAAAAAAAATAAGAAAAAATTATTTATAAACTTACATGTTGTAGTCCATCGTTTTCGTTTAATTCGTTTAACCAAACATCATCCATATTATTTATTATTGAATATTTATAATCCGAAAACATTTTTTTTTCTTCTTAACTGTATTATCTTGAATTCATGTTGCAATTTTTTTAAATTTCAGATCCCTAAAAAAAAAAAAAAAAAAGAAAAAAAAAACCAACTCATGAACAGGATTCAATCAAAGTGAATAAAGTGAGATAAAGAGGAAAACTTTTTTTTTTTTTTTTTAATTAATAACCGGTTAAAAAGTTTTCTTTTTTTTTATTGGCTTAGTTTTTAAAATGTTGAAAAATTTTTTTTTTT